GTTGTGTTGGGGGTGTGTGTTGAATCGTGTGTTGTGTTGTGTGTGTTGTGTTGGGTGTGTGTGTGTTGACCGTGTGGAAGTTGGGGGTGTGTGTTGTCAGTGGGGTGTGTGTGTGTGTTAAAGCGTGTGTTGTGTTGCGGGTGTGTGGTTGAATCGTGTGTTGTGTTGGGGGTGTGTGTGTGTGCTGATTCGTGTGAAGTGTGAAACAGTGCTGTGTTGGAGATGTTGCTTAACATCGTGTTGTTGTTGCTGTATCATTATTATTATTAAGTAGGCAGTGTAGTGAATGTGTGTGTGTGTGTGTGTGTGTGAGTGTGTGTGTGTGTGTGTGTGTGTGTGTGTGGGGAGGTGTGTGTGTGTGTGTGTGTGTGTGTGTGAGGTGTGTGTGTGTGTGTGAGTGTGTGTGTGTGTGTGTGTGTGTGTGGGGAGTAGTGGTGTGTGTGTGTGTGTGTGTGTGTGTGTGATGTGTGTGTGTGTGTGTGTGTGTGTGTGTGAGTGTGTGTGTGTGTGTGTGTGTGTGTGTGTGTGTGTGTGTGTGTGTGTGTGTGTGTGTGTGTGTGGTGTGTGTGTGTGTGTGTGTGTGTGTGTGTGTGTGTGTGTGTGTGTGTGTGTGTGGTGTGTGAGTGTGTGTGTGTGTGTGTGTGTGTGTGTGTGTGTGTGGTGTGTGTGTGTGTGAGGTGTGTGTGTGTGTGTGTGGCACCTGTAGGGATCATAAGCTCAAAGGTCTGGAAATTGAATTTTTCGGATTTATGAAATTATTCCTCGTCTATCTATCTATCTATCTATCAGTCTATCTATCTATCACTGCCTATCACCTCCCCCCTCTCCCTTGTTCTCTAGTTTTTGACGACTTTTTCCTCCTGGATTATTTATAATTTTTTATATTCAACTTTCGAGAAAAAAATTGGGAAAGTTTGTTTAGAAATTATTATTTTTTCGTCGAGTTTTTTGGTGTTTCACTTTTTTCTTCAATATTTTGTTTATTGTATTTTCTTCTTTTAAAATGCAAAATGGATGAAAGGAAGAGAGAGAGAGAGAGAGAGAGAGAGAGAGAGTATTCAAATCTGCAGTTTTAACTATCTACTTATCGTTCACTGTATACGTATTATTACTTATACTTAAAAAAAAACTTATACCTACACTTAAAGAGATTTTTACAATACTATACGAACCAACAAGATTTCACCTACATGTATCGTAAGTGAAATGAGTCGATGAAAGTGTATAACTATGTTCAGGACATAAAACAAACCCCTTTGTCTCGTGGCTTTGAGGGACTCACTGAGACACACTTTATGATATCCTGCCCCCCCCTCCTTCCTCCCACTATTCCTGTCCTTCCCCCCTCTCTCCTCCCCAAGAACTTTGAGTCTATAGAGATTAACTTTCATTACCTGGGATCTCGGGGGATTGTGAGTGACGTGGTAAAAGTAATTAATGAGGACAAGGGTTCGAGACTCAACAGCTTCTTGGGATCAAAATACGCAGCTTGTAACAGAGGCTGGGATGAGAAAAATACAGTGGCGATATTGGGGTCAGTATAGGTTAGGTTAGGTTAGGTTAGGTTAGGTTAGGTTAAGAAGTTAGGTTAAGTTAGGTTAGGTTAGGTTAGGTTAGTTAGGTTGGGTTGGTTAATCATAAATTGAAATAAACTGTGGGCTAATCTTCATGATGTCAAAAACTTAATGAGTTTTCTTTAATAATCCTCTTTGTTAAAGCCACTAAAACAAAGACAACAACAACAACACCAATAAACAACAACAACAACAATAACAACATCACAACAACACCAGAAACAACAACAACACAACAACAATAACAACAACATCACAACAACACCAGTAAACAACAACAATAAGAACAACAACAACAACAAACAAACAATACCACCACCGCCAACAGCAAAACAACAACAACAAGCAAACGAAACTCTGAACTATGAACAGCTTCAAGAACAAATAACAAAGTTCATTAGTTGACACAGTAAACATATATATCTGGCCAGAACAGAGCGGAGGTTAAGCTTCTCAAGAGAGCCTGGAGACTGCTTCTATATTCTGCTAAGCTTCAGCTACAAATGGTGGTCATGAGTTCAAGCTGCAGGTGTGGTCATGGAGTCAAGCTGCAGGTGTGGTCATGAGTTCAAGCTGCAGGTGGTCATGAGTTCAAGCTGCAGGTGTGGTCATGAGTTCAAGCTGCAGGTGTGGCCATGAGTTCAAGCTGCAGGTGTGGTATGAGTTCAAGGTGCAGGTGTGGTCATGAGTTCAAGCTGCAGGTGTGGTCTTGAGTTCAAGGTGCAGGTGTGGTCATGAGTTCAAGGTGCAGGTGTGGTCATGAGTCAGCTGCAGGTGTGGTCATGAGTTCAAGGTGCAGGTGTGGTCATGAGTTTAGCTGCAGGTGTGGTCATGAGTTCAAGGTGCAGGTGTGGCTCGAGTTCAAGGTGGTGTGGTCATGGTTCAGCTGCAGGTGGTCATGAGTTCAAGGTGCAGTACAGTGAGTTCAAGCTGCAGGTGTGTTTGAGTTCAAGCTGCAGGTGTGATCATGAGTTCAAGGCAGGTGTGGTCTGAGTTCAAGCTGCAGGTGTGGCCATGAGTTCAAGCGGTGTGGCTGTGAGTTCAAGCTGCAGGTGTGGTCTGAGTTCAAGGTGCAGGTGGCTCATGAGTTCAAGTGCAGTGTGGCTGCGAGTTCAAGCTGCAGGTGTGGCTGCGAGTTCAAGGTGCAGGTGTGGCCGTGAGTTCAAGCTGCAGGTGTGGTCATGAGTCTGCTGCAGGTGTGGTCATGAGTCTAGCCACAGGTGTGGAGTTCAGCTGCAGGTGTTGTGAGTCTCAGAGGTGGCCATGAGTTCAAGCTGCAGTGTTCATGAGTTCAAGGTGCAGGTGTGGTCATGAGTCAGCTGCAGGTGTGGTCATGGAAGCTGCAGGTGGTCATGAGTTCAGCTGCAGGTGTGGTCATGAGTTCAAGCTGCAGGTGTGGTGCTGAGTTCAGGCTACAGGTGTGGTCTTGAGTTCAAGGTGCAGGTGGTCATGAGTTCAGCTGCAGGTGTGGTCATGAGTTCAAGGCAGGTGTGGTCATGAGTTCAAGGCAGGTGTGTGGCCATGAGTTCAAGCTACAGGTGTGGTCTTGAGTTCAGGTGCAGGTGTGGTCATGAGTTCAAGGCAGGTGGTCATGAGTTCAAGCTGTAGGTATGGTCATGAGTTCGCTGCAGGTGTGGTCAGCGAGTTCAACGTGCAGGTGTGGTCATGAGTTCAGCCACAGGTGTGGTCATGAGTTCAAGTGCAGGTGTGGTCATGAGTCTGGCTACAGGTGTGGAGTCTGGTTGCAGGTGTGGTCATGAGTCTAGCTGCAGGTGTGGTCATGAGTTCAAGCTGCAGGTGAGTCATGAGTTCAAGGTGCAGGTGTGTTATGAGTCAGCTGCAGGTGTGATCATGAGTTCAAGCTGCAGGTGTCATGAGTTCAAGGTGCAGGTGTGGTCATGAGTTCAAGCTGCAGGTGTGGTCATGAGTTCAAGCTGCAGGTGTGGCCATGAGTTCAAGCTGCAGGTGTGGTCATGAGTTCAAGCTGCAGGTGTGGTCATGAGTTCAAGCTGCAGGTGTGGTCATGAGTTCAAGCTACAGGTGTGGTCTTGAGTTCAAGGTGCAGGTGTGGTCATGAGTTCAAGCTGCAGGTGTGGTCATGAGTTCAAGGTGCAGGTGTGGCCATGAGTTCAAGCTGCAGGTGTGATCATGAGTTTAAGCTACAGGTGTGGTCTTGAGTTCAAGGTGCAGGTCATGAGTTCAAGCTGCAGGTGTGGTCATGAGTTCAAGCTGCGGTGGTCATGAGTTCAAGGTGCTGGTGTGGTCATGAGTTCAAGCTGCAGATGTGGTCGACTAGAATGCTGACGTGTTGAAGGGTTTGTGGTTCAAGGGTGAGGTGTGGGCGGTTCGAGGTGAGGTGAGGGTGGTTGAAGGTTGAAGTATTGGTAGTCTGAGGGTGAGGTGGGTGGTTCCGAGGGTGAGGTGAGGGTGGTTCGAGGGTGAGGTGAGGGAGGTTCGAGGATGATGTGAGTTCGAGGGTAAGGTGTGGCTGGTCTGAGGGTGAGGTGAGGGTAGTTCAAGGTTGAGGGATGGAGGATCTCTCTCTCTCTCTCTCCGGGCCAGATGCCAACTCCCACCAGTGCTCTGACCTTGACGACCTTTGACCTTTTAGACTCGAAAAATACCTACATCAATTCAAGGGGTTGTTAGGTGAATGATAACAACATAAATGAATCAATTTAGCTCGCCTCGTTCATGGTATCTGTTGCTGACACACACACACACGCACACACACACACACACACACACACACACACACACACACACACACACGCCTCTTGAGATATATTTCACAGTCTATGTAATAAGAAATATTTCCCTACTCCAAATGACTCTTACCACAGTTATATATCTCCAAGGAAGCTACAAGGGTATAATTATCCCAAGGAGGTACTTAAAAAATGCCTAATGAGTGATTAAGTAAATGAGTTCCTGGAGTTAAAAATCTGAGTTATTAAGATGATGATTATTGAGAGTGCATAGGCAGGTTAGGTTAGGCTAGGTTAGGTTAGGTTAGTGTTAGTGTTAGGGTAGTGTTAGGTTAGGTAGTGTTAGTTTAGGTAGTGTTAGGTTAGGTAGTGTTAGGTTAGGTAGTGTTAGGTTAGGTTAGGTAGTGTTAGGTTAGGGGTAGTGTTAGGTTAGGGTAGTGTAGGTTAGGGTAGTGTTAGGTTAGGGTAGTGTTAGGTTAGGTTGTTATGTTAGGGTAGTGTTGTGGTTAGGGTAGTGTTAGGTTAGGGTAGTGTTTGTTAGGGTAGTGTTAGGTTAGGGTAGTGTTAGGGTCGCTTGGATTAGGTTAGGGTAGTTTTAAGGTAAGGTAGGTTAGGTTAGTGTTAGATTAGTTTAGGACGAGGTTGGGTTAGCTTAGTACGAGGGCATAAGAAACGACATTCACCTGTATGCAATTAATTAAAATGAGGAATGACTCACCTGTAGATGGGTGTAGTTAGCGGCTCCCTAAACCACAAGAGCAGGTAGATGGCATCGTCAGGGGGGTGGGACACTTCACAGGGTAGTGCCACTGTCCCTCCCTCCACCCCCGTCACTGACACTACCGGTACTGTCAAGGGTAGAGAGAGAAAGTACCATTAATGATGTCTCGGATTCACTGGTTGATGAGTCTCGGGGTTCATAGATGAGACGGAGGACTGACAGGACTATTGTTCGTCACTCTACTGTACACATTACGTCCTAGAATCACATTACGTAACAGTTAAGTACAGCGACCACTCATTAAGTACTTCACTACGCTATTATTTACATTGTAAGTAAATACACCAATAACTCCACACAAAGACATTCAGTTACATTGTTACAGTGGTGAAGAGTATTGGAACTGGTACCACAGACAGTCAATTCCTTACAAACACAGTCAGTAGCCTCTCAAACCACACAGTCTGAGAGGAGATTGACTTAGTGTTTGCTGAATGATCACATTAGTTGAGTGATGATGCTGCCAGCCTGCAAGAGAGATGAGATGAGGGATGTTTCTAGATGATTTATGCAAGGTGAGGGTGATAGATGAGGGGTGGGGGCAGGGAGGGGAGAGGGGGGTAAAGCGAGGGGGGGAGAGGGTGGTTGAAGGGTCCTATTGAACACTTGGAGAAAAATATACAGGGGTTGGTATTAAGAAGGTGGTGGTGTGGTTAGGTTAGGTAGAGAGGGGGGATCCTACCATACCAGCATACACCACCACCACACACCACACCACCACACCCTACCTACACCACACCACACCACACCACACCCTACCCACACCACACCACACCACACCACACCACACATCCACCCTTCCTTCCCTTCTTTCCAAATCATAAATCCTCCACATCATCACCCCATCCACCCACACCACACACTCATCTCACAACCCACCCACACTACCCCACCCAACACCCACTCAATTCAGCATATTCGTAGCCTGCTATGAATTAATCAGGTAAGTTTAGTGAGGTGACCTTGACTCCGTACTAATGAGGTGACAGTCTCTTACTTATCACCCTGTCCGTAATTACCTCCAAGCTCTCTCTCTCCTCTCTCAGACACGTGAGGTGGGGTTAGGGGTGTGTGTGTGTGTGTGTGTGTGTGTGTGTGTGTGTGTGTGTGTGTGTGTGTGTGTGTGTGGGATTCTCTGTGTTTTGTGGTACCTTTTTCTGTATGTATAGTATGTGCACCTGTATGTGTATTTTGTGTATGTATGTATGTATGTATGTATGTATGTAACCTGTGGTGTTATGGTCAGCATGCTCGCCTCACAAGCGTGCGGACCCGGGTTCGATCTCCGGGCAGGGCGAAACTGTGGGCATGTTTCTTTACGCCATTTGCCTCTGTCTACCCAGCAGTAATCGATTTGTGGATGGTTAGCCAGTGCAGTTGGCGAGTTGTCCGGTCTTCTCGGACTATTTCTTAACACTGGGTCATGCAACTCGTTAACTCAGGGTGTGGTTGTTGTGTTGGCGACAGCTTCTACACCTTAAACACTGGGTCATACAATTCGTTAACTCAGGGTGTGGTTGTTGTGTTGGCGACAGCTTCTACACCTTAAACACTGGGTCATACTGTTAACTCAGGGTGTGGTTGTTAGGTTGGCGACAGCTTCTAACTCCAAACACTGGGTCATGCATCTCGTTAACTCAGGGTGTGGTTGTTGTGTTGGCGACAGCTTCTTACCTTAAACACGGGTCATGCAATTCGTTAACTCAGGGTGTGGTTGTTGTGTTAAGGACAGCTTCTACGCCTTAAAACACTGGGTCATGCAACTCGTTAACCTAGGTGTGGTTGTTGTGTTGGCGACAGCTTCTACACCTTAAAACACTGGGTCATAACCTGTTAACTCAGGGTGTGGTTGTTGTGTTGGCGACAGCTTCTTCACCTTAAACACTGGGTCATGCAACTCGTTAACTCAGGGTGTGGTTGCTGTGTTGGCGACAGCTTCTACACCTTAAACACTGGGCCATGCAACTCGTTAACTCAGGGTGTGGTTGCTGTGTTGGCGACAGCTTCTACGCCTTAAACACTGGGTCATGCAACTCGTTAACTCAGGGTGTGGTTGTTGTGTTGGCGACAGCTTCTACACCTTAAACACTGGGTCATGCAACTCGTTAACTCAGGGTGTGGTTGTGTTGGCGACAGCCACACCTTAAACACTGGGTCATGCAACTCGTTAACTCAGGGTGTGGTTGTTGTGTTGGCGACAGCTTCTACACCTAAACTGGGTCATGCAACTCAAGCTAACTCAGGGTGTGTTGTTGTGTTGGCGACAGCTTCTACGCCTTAAACACTGGGTCATGCAACTCGTTAACTCAGGGTGTGGTTGTTGTGTTGGCGACAGCTTCACACCTTAAACACTGGGTCATGCAACTCGTTAACTCAGGTGTGGTTGTTGTGTTGGCGACAGCTTCACACCTTAAACACTGGGTCATGCAACTCAAGCTAACTCCAGGGTGTGGTTGCTGTTGGCGACAGCTTGCTAATCTTTTAAACACTGGTCATGCAACCTCGTTAACTCAGGGTGTATTGTTGTGTTGGCGACAGCTTCTACGCCTTTTAAACACTGGGTCATGCAACTCGTTAACCAGGTGTGGTTGTTGTGTTGGCGACAGCTTCTACACCTAAACACTGGGTCATGCAACTCGTTAACTCAGGGTGTGGTTGTTGTGTTATGACAGCTTCTACACCTAAACACTGGGTCATGCAACCTGTTAACTCAGGGTGTGGTTGTTGTAGGTTAAGGACAGCTTCACCTAAACACTGGGTCATGCAACTCGTTAACTCAGGGTGTGTTGTTGTGTTGGCGACAGCTTCTAAGCACCTTAAACACTGGGTCATGCAACTCGTTAACTCAGGGTGTGGCTGTTGTGTTATGACAGCTTCTACGCCTTAAACACTGGGTCATGCAACTCGTTAACTCAGGGTGTGGTTGTTGTGTTAAGGACAGCTTCTACACCTAAACACTGGTCATGCAACCGTTAACTCAGGGTGTGGTTGTTGTGTTGGCGACAGCTTCTACACCTTAAACAACACTGGGTCATGCAACTCGTTAACTCAGGGTGTGGTTGTTGTGTTGGCGACAGCCGCACCTTAAACACTGGGTCATGCAACCTCGTTAACTCAGGGTGTGGTTGTTGTGTTTGGCGACAGCTTCTACGCCTTAAACACTGGGTCATGCAACTGCTAACTCATAGGGTGTGTTGTTGTGTTGGCGACAGCTTCTACACCTTAAACACTGGGTCATGCAACTCGTTAACTCAGGGTGTGGTTGTTGTGTTATGACAGCTTACACCCAAACACTGGGTCATGCAACTCGTTAACTCAGGGTGTGGTTGTTGTGTTGGCGACAGCTTCTACACCTTTAACACTGGGTCATGCAACCGTTAACTCAGGGTGTGGTTGTTGTGTTGGCGACAGCTTCTATACTCCAAACACTCAAGTCATGCAACCCCGTTAACTCAGGGTGTGGTTGTTGTGTTGGCGACAGCTTCTACACCTTAAACACTGGGTCATGCAACTCGTTAACTCAGGGTGTGGGTGTTGTGTTGGCGACAGCTTCCACACCTTAAACACTGGGTCATGCAACTCGTTAACTCAGGGTGTGGTTGTTGTTTTGACGACAGCTTTTACACCTTAAACACTGGGTCATGCAACGTTAACTCAGGGTGTGGTTGTTGTGTTGACGACAGCTTCTACACCGTAAACATCTTCGGGTCATGCAACTCGTTAACTCAGGGTGGTTGTTGTGTTGGCGACAGCTTCACACCTAAACACTGGGTCATGCAACTCGTTAACTCAGGGTGTGGTTGTTGTGTTGGCGACAGCTTACACCTAAACACTGGGTCATGCAACTCGTTAAATCAGGGTAAAGCAGCAGGTTGGCGACAGCTTCTACACCTTAAACACTGGGTCATGCAACTCGTTAACTCAGGGTGTGGTTGTTGTGTTGACGACAGCTTCTACACCTTAAACAACACTGGGTCATGCAACTCGTTAACTCAGGGTGTGGTTGTTGTGCTGACGACAGCTTCTACACCTTAAACACTGTCATGCAAACTCGTTAACTCAGGGTGTGGCTGTTGTGTTGGCGACAGCTTCTACACCTTAAACACTGGGTCATGCAACTCGTTAACCAGGGTGTGGTTGTTGTGTTGGCGACAGCTTCACACCTAAACACTGGGTCATGCAACTCGTTAACTCAGGGTGTGTTGTTGTGTTGGCGACAGCTTCTACACCTTAAACACTGGGTCATGCATCTCTGTTACCAGGGTGTGGTTGTTGTGTTGGCGATAGCTTCTACACCTAAACACTGTCATGCAACCTCGTTAACTCAGGGTGTGGTTGCTGTGTTGGCGACAGCTTCTACACTCAAACACTGGGTCATGCATCTCGCTGTTAACTCAGGGTGTGGTTGTTGTGTTGGCGACAGCTAATTCCAAACACGTCATGCAACCGTTAACTCAGGGTGTGGTTGTTGTGTTGGCGACAGCTTCTACACCTTAAACACTGGTCATGCAACTCGTTAACTCAGGGTGTGGTTGCTGTGTTGGCGACAGCTTCTACACCTAAACACTGGGTCATGCAACTCGTTAACTCAGGGTGTGGTTGTTGTGTTGGCGACAGCTTACACCTTAAACACTGGGTCATGCAACCCGTTAACTCAGGGTGTGGTTGTTGCTGTTGGCGACAGCTTCTACACCTTAAACACTGGGTCATACAACTCGTTAACTCAGGGTGTGGTTGTTGTGTTGGCGACAGCTTGCCACCTTAAACAAACTTACGCCTAGGTGGTCCTTGGGCCGGCCATCCTCGTGACCAAGGGCACTATTATTGTGTATTGTTGTATATCTTGTGTTTACATTCCCGAGAGTGAGCTTTTTCCTGCCCTCGAGTTCTCCTTAATGAACAAACAAGGTCATTAGAGTTAACCACGTGACGAGTAATTAACAAGAGAACAAGATAAACAATAAGAGTGTATATGCACTGTTAAATTTGTTAAATACGTCACTACAGTAGTCAGCGAGGTGGAGGGAATAGATAGATAACACACACACACACACACACACACACACA